GGAAGAGAGTTACTGCCTGGCCCTTGGCAGTGATTTTCCACAAGTGCCGAGCGTCTGTGTCCCCTACAACCGTCAAAGGGAAGGCTCAGCACCTTTGAAAATCAGGCTTTTGGGGCTTTTCCCTGTGCAGGATTCAGGGAGGCGTGGGTTTTGCAAAGGTGAGCGGGAGTGACTAACCCACAGTCACACAGCGAAACAGCAGCAGAATCGAGAACAGGCTCCTGACCCCAGCTTCACAATGCAACGTTGCCCAATCCGCCTTGCCAAGCTCAGCCTGCTCCTCTTTCTGTCCTGTTCCCAAGCCCTAGCCTTGCCCAGCTAGCAAAAGCCCTTGCCTGCTCCAGCTTGCCCCGCTCACATCAGGGGCCCTCCACACCTGCAGCAAAGCTCCCCCTAACTCCAGTGGGACCGATTTGTGGGTACCCTACCCATCCCATCCACAGCGGGATGGTTCTGCCAGGTGTGCTGCCAGCAGCTTGCACGTGGACTGAAACAACCGAGGCAGGGTGGGGTGTAGCAGAGGGCCTCTCCGCAGGAAGACGGAGCGGGTCATGGGGGGAAGAGATCCTCTGGGGACTTGTGCAGGCAAGGTTTTCTGTATCCATGAAGGCTACCTGTCCTGAGCGATATGCCTCATCCCATGTCAGCCTACCAGCTCCTATGCAGCTTTCACTGCATGTCTGAGCAGTGCCCAGCACAATGCGCCCCTGGAATGTACCAACTCAGTGAGGTGAGGGTTGGGATGGGCACACACAATTCACACGTGAGCTAATACATATGTGCCCCTTGCATACATGACAAGGTCTGCACAGGGCCTCTGTGGGGGGGGGGGGGGAGCTCACAGTGACGGTAAGGGTGAGGGGGATCGTCTGACACTTGGAATGTTAGAGGTCCCCTCTGGCAAAGTGCCTGAGCCTACTCCACTGAGCAGGGCCCAGGGAGTGACCTAGCTGCAGTGCTCAGCGAACCCCCAACCACCCCTTTCAAAAAGGGTCAGTGCCATGCCCCAGCAGCTGGCACCCCCACTGACTTAGCACCAGGATAAGGATCTGCCCTGATGCAGCAGTTTGCAGGACCAGGCCCAGACTGAGCAACTACCTGCTCGGCCTTTAGCAGAAGGGCACGTGCCAAACCTCTGACAATATGGCAGCAGATGGGGGACCACGATATCTTTTGAGCGGGTCACTCACAGAATGCAATTAACTGGAGGTGGGTATGGACAACAAATGCCAGATCCAAACTCCCTCTGCTCTGGCTCTCAGCTGCACAGTCCACATATTCAATAACATAGCTGCCTTTTGCTAATCTTCTCAAGGATAGGCTGTGTAAAAATCCAGCAGGATTGCATCATGAAGCTGTTCTAGTAACCCTCCAGAAGACCGATGAGAGCAGAATGCAATTAACTGGAGGTGGGTATGGACAACAAATGCCAGATCCAAACTCCCTCTGCTCTGGCTCTCAGCTGCACAGTCCACATATTCAATAACATAGCTGCCTTTTGCTAATCTTCTCAAGGATAGGCTGTGTAAAAATCCAGCAGGATTGCATCATGAAGCTGTTCTAGTAACCCTCCAGAAGACCGATGAGAGGAATTAATATTGCCAGAGCAACCTTAAAACTGCCACATTAGCTTCCCCCACTACCTTCTTTCCCTCGGTTAATAGTAACCCTTAATGTATTGCTCTTTATTATTGCATCAGAGAATACAAATTACATGCTGGGCAAAGCCACAGGAACAGCCTTAACTCTGAGCAATCTTCTGCTCAAGTGACCAACCACACAGGTTTCAGCTTACATTTACCCATCACTTTTCCATCGGTTTTAATGCTCAGAGGGATCCTTGTGACCATCTACCCTGACCTTCAGCACAACACAGGTGGGTCAACTCCATGCCAAGATTCTTGCACCAAGCCCATTCACTTGTGGTTGAAGAGAACGTGTCTTTTGGAAAGTTTCAGAGGGGAAGCCGTGTTAGTCTGTTTCAGCCAAAACAAAGAGGAGTCCTGTGGCAACTTAAAAGACCCACACATTTATGAGGGCATAAGCTTTCGTGAGCTGCAGCCCCCTTCCCTAATATCTGTGTAAGCCTTTAATGTACCACAGGACCTTGTTTTTTTCTTTTGGAAAGACATCTGTTCTGGATTTAAAGAGAGAAGCCCGCACCCTACTGATGTTGATGACAAAAGTCCAACAGAGAATTCTGATGTCAAATGACAGACAGCCCATTTCCCTTGGTCAGCTGTTCCAATGGTCAGTTAAACTCTCTGTTAAAAATGTGTCCCTTCTCTTCACTTTGAATCCATCCATTTTCAGCTCCCTGCCATTGATCTCCTCCTGCCTTCAACTGCTCCATGAAAGCACCCTCTTGGCAGGTTATTTTCCAGTTTGTTTGCTTTTAATTTGAGACGGCAGAAAAAGAAATCACCTTCCGCCACTTTTAAACCCAGCTGACAAAGCCAATAGCTGTATGCATGCCTTGCTCCACAGTTAGCCATCCTAACAGTCTCCCATGCGCCACTAGCTTTGCCACATGTGAGCCTCAAAAGGCACCCTCTGACTAGCGAGGCAGGCAGCACCTGCTGGATCCGAACTGGACTGGCTTCAGGTCATCCATGAAACCAGAATGTATGTAGCGGAAGTCATGGACAGACGAATGTCAGAAAGGACGGGTTGAGTGCGCAGCAGGATGCAAATATCACCTCTGTTAAACCAAGCTCACTTAGGGCCTGACCCAAACTCACTTGAATGTCTCCCAGGGACCTGACCAGGGTCTAGAACCGGTCTTCCCACCCTCCTATGGATACTTGGGGGATTTCCTCCTTTCTAAATGGGCCCCTTCATCCCCACTGTCCTTGGGCATCAAAAATGGCACAAAATAAAGTCCAATCCAGGCACAGACCTAGCCAGGAGAGCCGCAGCTCAGGAGGGGAATGTGCCTAGCTAGTCCTTGGCCAGTATGGAAATAAGTAAGATCCCTGCGACAGACTCTGGCGGAGACCCTGGGGCAGCCTGACCCGCTGCAGAGGCTGCTACGGTTTCACCAGGGCCCCCAGGGTGCAAGCGGCACCCCCCTTGCAAGGAGCCGGGTGCAGGGCAAGCAGCATTTCCAAGCCAGGCTCCTCTACTCTGCCCCAAGCAGCATTTCCAAGCCAGGCTCCTCCGCTCTGCCCCAGGCAGCTCAGGCAAAGGGGCTGGGGAATGAGCAGATGCCCAGGGCCAGGAGGTCTGGCTTGGCCCCTGCTGGGCGCTCCCTGCTGCACTGGGGGCCCTGTTCTCCAGCAGGCCAAGGCCAAGGCCACGCCCCCTCCGCCGCCCGCTCGCGGCTGAACTCTCCCCGGCAAGAGGGAAATGACCGAGAGTAACCCTCCCGCTGACGTCAGGGCCCCGGGGGAGCCAAGGGGCGGGGCTTGGGGCAACAACTCAGCAGCGGGCGTGGAGCCAGAGCCCGGAGCAGCGCCGGGCTGGTCCCTTCTTAGTGGCGCTGGCTTCCCTGCACCCCCTGGCAGGGGCCAAGCAAAATCCAAAGCGAGTA